TAAAATAGATATAATTTAACTACAATGATTCACAAATTCCTTATCAAATCATTATATTCAATCATATATAAGCTTTAGTTATTTATAATGTACCTCTACTTTCTTAACGACATAATTCAAACTATAGAACAATGATAGGTAGATTAGAAACCATACTAAAATATAATTTAAACAGATATCTGACAAATGACAGGTCTCGTTTCATCATCATCATCATGATCATCATTAGTTTAATCACTATGTCGTTGATTATAGCATAAGCTTAAAAATTGCTGGGAATAAAACTATCTACTGAATGTAATTAAGTAGTATAAAACTGTACGTGAAAAAGTTGAAGAGAAGCGAATAAGGACAAAATGTAAAACAGAATTAACAGCACCATCAAATGCATTTAAGTGTTGTATGCAAAATGCCCTCTCCTCAAAAGCTATTTGAAACAGTTTCAGCACCAGGATACTAGTATTATTTCATACCAGTTTTTCTTAGAAGTTAATACTGAGGTGAGTTCAAATATCGTATAATTCATTTTTTCTTCGTTTGAGCATTTTGTAAGGATTAGGATTTAAGACTGATTATAACTTTCAACCCAGACAACGCGATACGTCTAAGAATCTAATGGAATTTCAGCTGAGGACAGCCTTAGGATGTTTTCAAATAATTATTGAGAAACTGAAATATTCTCTAACATTTTAAATGAAATGTTCTTCCTTCTAGGGATAATGAAGTATAAACAGTACAGATAGCGTAATGCTACGTGGTTCCCGTTTAGGCTGCAAACTTAGAGTAAATGAAATATCACTGAATACTAGTCAAATTATCGAACAAGCTGAAAACATCCATTACACAGAAGATATCTTTTATTTGAAGAAACTTTGCTTATCTGAAAACAATGGCATTAATACAATATATCTGATATATTTGACGAAAACTTTGTTTGGTCATCCAGAGATATTGTGATCGGTTCATAATATTTTCCCGTAACAGTATTATTACTGAAAACAGTTACATGGAGGTTACTAGTAGCCTCAATTTCTGAAAGTAAAATTTGTTACGTATTACGTGTGCTCAGTACTTTTTTTCATCAATGTCTATTCTCAGTCCTCAATAGTTTGATCTTGTGTGTATCATTTACGTTCGGACTGGCTGTATTCTAAGTTAGGTTCCACAGGATCAGTCTTTTCTTTTCTCCACAATGATTCCTATCATTTCGTTATCAATTAACATTTGACCACAGGGTTTATTGAGATTAGCTTCGTAGATCTTCTGAGTGTATTTTCAAATTATTACCCACTTTAGGAAATTAAAGTTTTTTTGAATTGGTTACTGAAACCTCACTGATGAAGCTAACATTTCTCTTAATTTCAGTAATATATGAAAAAATCTCTTTATGTCTTTTGTGTACTTAAACTGTTTAGGTAGTATATACATTATCTTTAAAATAATAATCCAGACCATTAGCTAGTTGAAATGTATTGTTGCATTTACCAATGACTAAACTAAGAATTCACCAATACACGCAACAAATAAGTTATTCAAACCGAATCTTCAACCTTCGGTTTCACCTTATTGATTGAAATGAAATGAAGTTATGGATCATATGAACCGCAAAATCCGAAGATTATGGATATATGTTCCCAAGTAAACGATAATCTGAAATTGTAATTCAAGGTGGAAAGTGGCTAGCAATGGAATACAGTACGCGCGTTTCATCCTATTTGGGACTCATCAGCCAGACATACCTACATCTCAGAGTTGATGTTCACTCTGGGACTGGAACCCAGTACTTTTCGCTTCAAACGCCATAGCGTTATCCACTAATCCGAAATTATATAAATCCCCGGTACGTATTAAATCTTGATAGGTTTTTAACTGACACAACCCACTGAAATGAGGCGTACCTATGAAATATTCTCCTGATAGATCCATATGAAAGGAATGTTAATAGATTGTTAGAAAGTCACTCACATATATCACGAAAATGTCTTCAACACATGACTTAGGCTACTATCCATAGATATTAAGTAGTGTGTAATAGAATAAAATCTAGGCAATGAAACGAAAATAAAACCAGTTGACCGTTTCTTCTTAGCCAACAATTTGATAGGATAAGGTCGATGGATCTTGGATGAGAGTTCTGTCGTGTTACTAGTTTAGCGTTTGAAGATTAAAAACGTATATCATTGAGTACCACAGTTTGAGAGGGTATTTTTCAATAACAACAATTAAAATGTTGTAATATAAGAGGAATCATACTATATTTTGAATTATTATTCTACCATATGTCCTGCATGAAAATACAAGTGTTTATCAACAGTTGTCTACGCAAAATACTTCGGATCCAGTGGCCAATCACTATCAATAACAACCTACTGTGGGACAGAACAAACCAAAGTTTCAGCTGAGGAAGAAATCAGTAAGGAGCACTGGAAGTGAATTGGGTACACTTGTGTTCAACCCTTTGTTGATTTTAGTTAAAATACATAGCCCACATTTAATTTCATCAATATATTCATTAACTTTATGTCATTTATTACAATGCAAATTCAAAAAACATGAAAATACAAAATGTTTACAGGTCATACAGATTTCAAGTATTTACATATATGAGCAGAAAAACGAAGAGTATAGTATGTGTGTGTAAATGGAACTTGACCTTTGTCCAAGGTCGCTGAATAACAAATGATTCAGCTGTTACGGTGAGACTATAATTTATGGACGAGCCAATCTGAAGCGTTTTAGGGATTTCAAGGTCACGGCGCCAATTTCAGTACCTTATGCTTATGTACGATTGGTTCACAGAGAATTTTAGAGAAGATTTGATAATTAAGCGGCTACAACAAATGAAACTACTAAGAAGTTCCTGTAATTGTAATTACGTGTATTAAATGACTTGTAGACCTTGTGCAGACTACCATGATATTGTCCTTTGATGTAATATATGTTGAAGGAAGACATTTGCTAGAAAAGGAAGCTTTATCACTCGATCCAGATTGAGACTAAGGCATATGTATAATAAAAGCACCAGTAACATTGGCTGCAATAATCGCAGATGTTACTGAAGTTTCGGCTGTTATTATTATTATTATTGGCTTTATTCAATATTATAATCTGGTACAATATAGAATTCTCAGCTGTTCAGTGGTATGAGTATTGTAGGGATGTATTCTTTACAAAAATGACAAACTTACACAACTGGAGTAGTACTACATACTTACTCTCACGAAACTAAGTGCAATGGGTCTCCAGTGATAATCCTAAAGATATATACGTTCACTTAGATGCTCACCAAATACTTGACCATATTAGAACGACACATTAGCTGGTTTGACAAAACGTCGTCTGCATAGAAGTAAGATATGAACTGCTACTTGTGTTGACCTCTTCAGCTATACTATTATCAGTATTACTGATATTATACAGTGATGTTCGGAATATTGAATGAAATCTAAGCAGAAAAACATTCATTCGTAATAAAGATATTATTTTATGTTGTATTATAGAAATGTATTTCAAACATTAAGCAAAATGATACACAAATTTAAATTCTGTATCTAATCTCCCCATGAACTTTCTTTTTGAGATGAGCAAATCATCACATGGCCACGTGTGTATAGCCTCTGTCAGGGAAGTCCTACTCACTGCATTCTCACAGTGTCATTACTGTTGTTTACGAAATTGAGAGGACGAAAAGCGAATGTTCGACGCTTTAACCGGGTTGGTGGACACGGAGAGTCCACCTGGAGGAGGTGAAAAACCCTGATTACAAACCAATGGTGCACGTGGGCTCCAGTATCCTGAGGGAACAAATGGCGTATAAATCAATCGTTGGTCACTGACTACCATGAGACTGCATCTCCATACGATGCTCTATTGCCATGTGGAACAGACCTTTAGGTAGAAGGATCCAGGTGCCTTCCCTTAGAAAAATCACCTGCTTCAATTCGGGCACCTGAGAAGTATCACAGCCCTCACAAATCAAATGAGATTTGTGCGGCACATCTATATCTGGTGCCCCCTTTGTACCAATATTTATTTGCTTATCTAAATAACAAAAAGATCCAATAAGAGACATCGTGTTGTTTTAAATATGCATTGATAAGAAGGTACCTTATTTCGATGTTGATTGACTGAACTGCTAACTTCTAACTGATGATCACTCAATATTCATCGTCAAGATTGACGAAGAAGTAAGAAACAGAAACTTGTTGAAATACATTGTGCTGAGAATTCTATATTATATCAGAAATATAATATTGAATTACGCCATTACTAATAATAATAATGTTCTGACTCAAAAAAATAAATTCACTACTCTCAGGTTTGATTCCTAGAAAAAAACTCACAATCCTTTGTTACACCTATGTATATACTTGGTTGACGAGTCTAAATTGAGACGAAATTCCCATGATAGACAACATCACTATTCAACCCTTCAAATACAATCTTTTACAGTATAATCCTAATCCACTAGTTCACTTATTATATACATTAAAATGCCCCCCAATGCCCTGGTACAGCCCAGAGTGGGGAGAGTTCGCTCTCCCTCTCCAAATGCTCTCACATGGCTACGCGAATATATAGACTCTCCCAGGGAAGTCCTACTCACTGCCTTCTCACTGTGGCATTACTGTTGTTTACGAAATTGAGAGGACGAAGAGCAAATGTCCGGCTCTTTAACCGGGTCGGTAGACATAGCGAGTCCACCTAGAGGAGTTGGAAAACCCCGATACCAAACCAATGGTGCACATGGGCTCCAGGATCATGAGGTAACAAATTGTGTACGAATCAATCGTTGGTCACCGTCTACCATGGGACTGCATCTCCTCACGATGCTCCACTGCCTTTTGGACTAGACCTTCATGTCAAAGGCCCGTGGTGTGGCCCCGTAAGAAAATCACCTACTTCAGTCTGGGCAACTGGGCAGTATCACAGCTCTCACACAAATCGAATGAGATTTGTGAGGCGCATCTGTATCTGGTGCTTTCTTGCACCAATATTTATGTGTTTAAATAAATAAATAAATACATTAAAATCCAAATACTAGCAAATTATTATATAAGAATAGACTTTGATTATTGTAGACATATTATACAAACCATTATAAATCATAAGGTTAGAACTAATACAATATATAATCTTCTATAAGCTTTCTAAATGAAGATTCAATTCTATATCGTTTTATTTTAGTAGAGCTTATTTATACTACTGAAATGAAGTAGTACAGATATGATGCCAAAAAAACAAAACAAAGTATGTTTAGTGTAATCATTAGTTTGGTAAGAATTTCATTGACAACCTAAAACATATATAGATATGTAAATATTGATTAACGTTCTGTATTGGAAAATTGTTGTCGTGGTGGTATAGGACGATTTGAATAATTGACTTTTGATATTGGTCTTGTTTGTTGTTGTCCTTGTTTATTATCTGAGGTTACATTAGATATAGGTCGTTGATTATCTTTACGATCTATTTGTTCATGTAATATAGTTTCTAATTGATTAATACGTTGATCAGATTCATTACAAACTTGTTGAAGTTCTTGAATTTGTTTCATTAATTGTTTATTTTTAATAAATATGGTTTCTGAAATTAGAAAGAGAACAATAGTTCAGTTGAAAACAAATTATATCTTTCATAGTTGAAATCATGAGGAGTCCCAAAACAGGACGAAACGGCCGTCAAACAGTGCTTCCAGGTTTTCCATGGTGATCTAGCTTCAATTTACTTATGATTTCAACTATGAAAAATACTGGAATCTCCACAAAACCCCTTCTGATTATAATCATATGCTCACTGGTGACTGACTTCAAGATACATGTCCTGGAGTTTTAGTGAGAAGTAGTGATCAGTGGAGTTCAAACACGTCTGTTGTGAGATAACAATTCACTGAAGACAATTGGTGAACGGTTGCTCAAACTTCGTAGATTGGTTGAAGTTAGACATTAACACCGTTGGATGTCGGCCAGCTCAGTGGTCTATCGGTTAAGTGCTCTGGCGCGAAACTGGTAGGTCCTGGGTTCGGATTTAATGAGGCGTGGTCGCGAATGCGCACTGGTGAGGGATCTTACAATAGGACGAAATAGCCGTCCAGTGCTTCCAGGTTTTTCACGGTGGTCTAGCTTCAATTTACTCATGATTTCAACCATGAAAACTACTGAAATCTTCACAAAACCCCTTCTGACAAATTATATCATAAGTATTTAAGTGATATTGAATATAAGTACCATTATTACTGTAAGATTTTATTTAGTTTTGTCAAAGATATTGACTTGAACCCGGTATTATTTTCATCACTCATCAATTTCAAATTGGAAATCTTTGAAAATAAAGAAGTATGTGACATTTGTTTCGTTTTAGTGTTGGACTTCACATTCATGAGTTGGTCATGAGTCTAACCCATCTTATTTGGATCCTGTGAAGCATTCCATATCTCTAGACCACTGTAATGAACAAGTCATTAGATGCTTTGTTAAAATAAACTACTGAAGGTTATAACATCCGGATGAAATTCTAATCTAGTAAAAGTTGGCTTTAAATCATAAATATTGGTACAACGAGGCACCAGATACATATGCGCTACACAAATCAAATAAGATTTGTGTGAGGTCTGTGATACTGCTCAGGTGCCCAAGCTAAAGCAGGTGGTTTTCTTAGGGGGCCACACCTGGAGCCTTTGACCTAAAGGTTTGCTCCACAAAGCAGTAGAGCATCGTAAGGAGATACAGTCCCATGGTAGTCGGTGACCAACAATTTGTTCGTACGCCATTTGTTCCATCAGGATCCTGGAGCCCATGTGCACCATTAGTTTGGAATGAGGGTTTTCCAACTCCTCTAGGTGGGCTTTCCGTGTCCACCAATCCGGTTAGAGTGCCGTACATTGGCTTTTCGTCCCCTCAATTTCGTAAACAACAGTAATGACACTGTGAGAATGCAGTGAGTAGGACTTCTCTGACAGAGGCTATAAACGCGTGACCATGTGAGAGCATTTCGAGATCGAGCGTGGACTCTCCCCACTCTCGGCCGTACCAGGGCATTTGGTGGTTAGTTTAGAATAGAACAAATTTTTAAGATTAAACAATAAAAAAACTATTACACATTTACTCTGAAATGGTGATTAATCGGGTTGAACCACCTAAGTAATGAGATAACTATCATCGATCACACTGTATTATTTTCATGCTATACTACAAATTAATTAAAGACAGAATTATGGTTCTAAAATAATGCGCTCAATGCAGGATACAAGTGGCTTGACTTTGATCTTTAGTATAATCATGTTGGCTCACTGATTGAGAGTCCTGTAATTTCATGAAGAAGTTATCTTGCTTTACAGTCGAAAATTGATTTCCGATGAACATCGCTTCAACCTTACATTTATTTAGAATACGTTGGTTGAATAAATAAATAAAACATTGATAAAAGACTGAATACTGCGACAAGTCTGTAGGCGGTAAAAATGCGTTTGTATCATTTATGTTTGTTGATTGATTAAGTTGTCATGACAACTTTTTTCAGATTGAATTAAAGGATTGAGATAATGCTATGAGATATGCATTATCTGTAGTATAAGATACTATAGTGTAATACATTTAGAATAATCTGATCCATTTTAAAAGAAAATCAATATTACCAAGACGGGTTCAAAGTCTATAAGATGAAAGTTTACCAAACTGTCTGTTTTATACAGTTCCATTCGAACTACCATAGATCATTGACCTCAGATACAATGGTACACTTTTACAACTCTCATTTCGAAATAATGAGAGACAGTCACTAATTACCAACTGTGATACTTGACTCATGAGTGATGCATTTGAACTATGTTAATCATAGAGACTTCAAGAATGCTTCTCAGTAAATAGTAATTGACAGATTATCATTATGATTAAGATACAACTTTTATAGAAATTGTTCACATTACTGAGTGTAGGTAAGCAATGTATGAAAACGGGACAACTGTCTCGATCTAATATATGACTTATAAGCATAGATGGATAGTGGCTAGTAGTGGAATCCAGAACGCGCGTTTCGTTCTATTCGGGACTCTGAGACTTGAACCCACTACCGTTTGCTTCAAACACCATCGCGTTATGCACTCAGGTACTAAGTTCAAGATTCTAGAAACCTATATCAAGTGAATTTAAACTTCAACCCATTGCATAAGCAAGTGGCTATCAGGAATCAGTAGATGAGTGGATAACGCGATGGCGTTTGAAGCAAACGATACTAGGTTTGACTCCGAGAGTGAACATCAACTCTGAGATGAAGGTCCATCCAGCTGACAAATGATATACATATATACATTCATTATCTTTTAAATCTGTTCACCTATATAGAGAAATTTTTACATGGATACAAAACATATTTAGAATTCATATACACCTATATTCATTTCATATTTAAATAGATGTATCTAACTTTCATTTTTTGGGGGGAGGGGGTGTTTCTAGTTGACCTATTTTATAACACAATGTATAAATTTTTTTGACAAATTCATCTATTTTTATACATAAGCATATCAAAACAAACAAACAAAAAACAACACATCTATACAATCATTTGTTTAAACAAAATCTATAAACATTGAATAAATTATTTAAATAACATACATATGTATATGTATGAAAGTGTAAAGTTATTTTCAGCAGAAATCATTAGTCAATTGAAGCGAAACCACCATGAAAAACCTGGAAGCATTGGACGGACGTTTCGTCCGATTATGGAACTCGTCGGCAGTGTGCATCCATGATCCCGACTCTCGAGATCTGAACCTAGGACCTATCAGTCTTGAGCGCGAGCGCTTGACCTCTAGACCACTGAATCGGCAACCAACGGTGTTAATGTCTAACTTTAACCAAACCACGAAATTGAACAACTGTTCACCATTGTCTTCAGTGAGTTAATATCTAACAACCGACAAAACGGCCGTCCAGTGCTTTCAGGTTTTAGCATCAATTGACTCATGATTTCAACTATAATATATAACTATATTGTGTAATGATAAAATAAGAGTGAAAATGTTGGAATTAAGAGATATATGTCAAAATATTTCAATACATAATAATGATGAACAGTAAAGCTAATCCGTATCAGCTAAAGAAAGGTATCTATCTTAGACGATGGAAGATTTTCGGGCAATTTTGTTGGATGCCAGTTCAGTGATTTCAAGGTTAAACATTCATGTGCAAAACTAAAGATCCTAGGTTTGAACCTTGAGTGCTGGATAGTGGATGAGCACTGCTAAGGATTCTCATACTAGGACGAAATCGTCGTACAGTAGTCTCAGGTTCTCAATGGTGGTCTAACATCGATCCATGGTCCTAATCAAAAACTTAACATTCACCACAACACCCTACTGATAATGATAATATATACTCATGATAGTTGTTAATTGTGTAACAATTCTGTTATTTATAGACAAACGACAAATATTTCAGTAGTGCACAAGAATGACTGAATTCAAGAATGATAATCAACTAATTTTCCAATAATTTGCTAGATGAAGTTGCGCTCACTATGAAAATTGAGGTTCTTATTTTGAAACTGTTGTCGCGTTGTTTGTACTGTTAAGAAGTGCGGAAATGGAAAGAAGTAGCTATCCAGTACTGGGTTTTTAATAATTTAGCAAATTTGGTTATAAATCTAACGAAAACTAGTAATGCAATAACAGGAAAAGTTAACCTATTCCACTGCACTTCAAACCTATGAGTTAGAGGAAGAAGACAAGATTCAACCAAGAAAATATATAATTCCACAAGCAACACGGGGATTATTACACAGAAGACAATTATAAGCCAAGAAAAGCTCCAAATTTCTTCAGGATTTTGAGTAAAGTCAATAAGTCTATGATTTGACACTCTTATCTTATTTCTCCGGGAAAACGTGTAATTTGCCGTTAATTTTAGCAGATTCTTTTCGAAGAGCATACAGATCTTTGAGGTCACTCCGTTTATGACTAAACTAAGCAATTCATTAGACATACCAAGTTATTTTTACCTATCAAATTTGTTTAGGGTTCACATTTGGTTAATTTCCAGTAGTCTAGAAATCGATTACAAAATTTGTTACCCAGCTACTTAATATATCCTATTTAATAGTTTATTTAAACAACAAGTTCTGTCTATTTGATTATATTTTCTTTAATTCTAACTTCTGAATTCCTTTCACTATCGGAAGCAAGATAGTATACACAGTACTATCCAACTAGTCAATAGTCTCTGATTGAGATTTAAAATTCATTAAAGACTTTTATATATTCTTTGAGAAAATTCTTCTGTTGAAATAAATATGTTTATAAAGTTCATTTACTTTGAAATATATTTAAAAGTATCATGTAGCGTTAACACCACTGACATTAACATCATTGGATGCCGGCTCAGTGGTATATCGGTTAGGCGCTCGTGCGTAAGATTGATGGGTCCTGGGTTCGAATCTCGCGAGTGCGAGATCATGGATGCGCACTGCTGAGGAGTCCAATAATAGGATGAAACAGCCGTCCATTACTTCCAGGTTTTCCATGGTGGTTTAGCTTCAACTGACTCACGCTTTCAATTATAAAAATACTAAATCTACACAAAACCCCTTCTAATAATATCTGATAAGTCTTGGTGATTGAACGCTATACTGGAATGCTAAGCTAGTCTCGTAACCTCCAAGCTAAATCTACACAGCAACTTGAACACGAGAGAAAAGGCACAAAATATGCGAGAAGCACTTTACTCTATAGGTTCATTCATGTATAGAAAATATAGGGTTTTTATATTATTTTAGAAGTCTTTGGGTTTTCCTGAAAATTCTCGAATGCTACTAAACATAGTAACCAGCCAACCAGAAACTCTACGTGTGACTTTTCACTTTCATGCTGTTGCTAACAAAACTTCTAGTAAATGCTGATTGGACCAAATGCTTCTTAGTGTTTTCTTAAGCCTTTCTTGTCTATTGCGAGAAATTTTCTAGATCACCCCAACAATATCAATGTTGAATATTATAGACTCTATTTCATTCAGTTCGAGCACTTTTACATACAAAATCTTGGACTCTGTGCTTTTAACATTCACACATCTTGTAAACAATAAGTAAACACATAGTCCATAGATGGAAATACCTATTTCTTGAACAGCTGAAGACAATATATCAGCTCAAAATGAGACCAGTCAACTTTCGATCAACACAATGACAATGTCCCTAAACATGACAAGTGTAAAACCAGTAAAGACCCTTACTTTTTTCAAGATCATAAACATCCGTTACTTACTGACTTACTTACACCTGTTACCCCTCGTGGAGGAGCATATGTCACTCACCAGCATTCTCCATCCAACTCTGTCCTGAGCAATCCTTTCCAGGTCTTTCCACTTGTTATTCATCCTTTTCATATCAAATTCTATTTCCCGACGCAATGTGTTCTTTGGCCTTCCTCGTTTCCGCTTCCCTTCCGGATTACAAGTTAGGGATTGCCGCGTGATGCAGTTTGGTGACTTCCTCAATTTATGTACTATCCACTTCCAACGTCTTTTTCTAATTTCCTCTTCAACTAGAAGCTGGTTTGTCCTCTCCCATAAAACGCTGTTGTTGATAGTATCCGGCCAGTGAATGTTGAGTAATTTACATATACAACTGTTTATAAATACTTGTACCTTCTTGGCGACGGATGTAGTGGTTCTCCACGTTTCAGCTCTGTACACTAGGACTGACTATCTTGACGTTCGTTTTGAAGATTCTGATTTTGAAATTAGTTGACATTTTTTTAGTTCCATAATTCCTTCAATTGTAGAAATGCTGCCCTTGCTTTGCCAATCCTCGCCTTTACATCTGCATCAGACCCTCATTGTTTATCAACTATGCTTCCCAAGTACATCAATGTTTCCACTTCTTCCAGGGTTACGCCATCAAGTGTGATTGCGTTGGTGTTCTCCGTGTCGTATTTATAACTCCGTCTGTAGCTCTTCTAGAGTTACTGCCGGTCCCAAGCCCGGGTAAAGGAGGAGGGTTGGGCATGGGGTTAGTGACCCTATCCCGTAGAAAAACTAACTCGCTAAAAAAACGCTAACCAGAAAAAATAATTCAAACCATTTAAACATCAAATGGAAACTAGCACGAAACCTAGGTTAATTACTTTATAACTATGATCTGAAATCATCTACGGATTACAATATTGAATTACTTTTAACTTAATGATCATATCACAATTTGAGTAAATAAATCCGACTATAAATTCACTTGGTATTATTAGGACTGCAACTGGTCAGTCTCTAATTGGCATATGTGCATATTGTGCGTATTGCCTCGATATAGCCTTAATTCACAAGCATTGTAAGCAAAGATGTACAGTGGCTATCAGTGGAATCCAGTTTGACGCTCGTTTCGTTCTATTCGGGACTTGTCAGCTGGATATACCTGCATCTCAGAGTAGATGTTCACTCTGGGACTCGAACGCAATACCTTTCACTTCAAACACCATCGCGTTATCCATCCAGCCACTGAGTCCTAATAGCTACTATAATTAATGTCTAAATAGTTTGATTTTAACAATTAACAAGCCAACAACTACTGTAATTATAATTGAATTTCTATCAACTACATCTATATGTCTATATGATTCTTATATGATGAATCAATCAATCAAAGTTTAACTAAGGTCTATACCATCAATTCTTTAATGTTGACAATGATTCCATCAATTATAAACTATTCATTCTATTATATATATATATTCTTCTCTCAATATTTTCTTATCATTAACAACTACCCTCATTTTAATTAGAAAGAAATGTTTTTAGTTTCTTTTTCTACTACTAATTTTCATATAAACCAGTAAATTTAGAAGTAGTAGTGTATAAATTCACTTGGTATTGTTTGTTTGTATCTTTTGATTGATATTTAGAACTGTAATTGATCAGTCTCTTATTGGTATATGTGAATATTGTGCTTATCGCAGGTAAATTCAGCTGATGAGTCACAAATAGGACGAACCATGTGTCTTGGATTTCACTGCTAGCCACTATCCATCTATGCTTATAATGCTTGTGAATTAAGGCTATATCGATGCAGTCCACACAGGACGCACATATACCAATAAGAGACTCATCAATTGCAGTCCTACACATCAAAGGGAAGATTCAAACAAACAATACCACGTGAATTTAAACTTCACCCCATTGCACAAGTAAGTGGTTATCAGGACTCAGTAACTGAGTGGATAACGAGATGGAGTTTGAAGTGAAAGGTACTTGGTTCGAGTCCCAGATGCAAGTACATCCAGCTGACGTGTCTTAAATATAACGAAACGCTCATACGTGATCCCACTGCTAGCCACTATCCATCTTGGCTAAGTAGTGTATAACACTATGACAAAATAGACATTTGATTCAACTTTATGTTTATTATATCATCTATTTATCATAGAAAGGAAAATACAGTAAACTGAACTTAATTCTCGAAATGTGCTTCATTTTAACATAACCGATGTCAGTAGATAGTCAAATAGTGTAATACTCATAATACATATGTATAGTGACACAGTGAATCAATCAATGTTAAAATGAATGTTAATATTAATCATAGTCTAAAGAACTACCACAACTATCATCAAAATGGTACAAGTATTTATAAAGAGTTGTCTACGCAAGATACTCAATATTCGTTGTTGGCTGAATACCATCAGCAACAGCCCACTATGGGAGAGAACAAAACAACTTCTAACTGGAGAAGACTCTAAAGACGGATAAGACATACTTTACGATAATCATTAAACTGTATCACAAGGTAAGCGCTAATTTGAGATCCTCAAGGGAAACGGAAAACTGGAAGACTGAAGAACAAACTATGTCGGGAGTTATAAACAGACATGAAAAGGATGAATAACAACTGGAACTAACTGGAAAGAATTATCCAGGACAGGGTTGGATGAAGATTGCTGATGGTAGGCTTATGCTCCTCCAGAAGTAGTAACTGGCCTTAATAAATAAGTAAGTGTAATATTATCGACAACAATTATTGAGATTTTTAGCTTACAACTTTAATTTATTGAAGAAATTTGATTAAATCACACTGTGTGAAACATGATCAAACATGAAAAATCTAATTGAATTATATGAAGTATAAAAAATTGAAATATAATACGAAATTATAATCCAGGGGTTTGTTAATCGATTTGTGATATAACAGTGTCTTTACCTAAATATTATTTATTACTCCAAATGTCAACGCGTTGCCCCGCTGCTGGAAACTTAGACGATAAGTAGTTGGTTCTTTTTTTCAGTATGAATAACAACACTTAGATACAAGAACATCTAGCTTGAGAGTCTCAAATTGAACAAAACAAGCATCTCTGATATCCCTGACAGCTAGAATCCAAATATTTTTGAACCTGAAATAGACTGATTTCATTGTTTTCCTAAAGTTATTTTTACAACTCTTGTTATTATTTTATATAATTGAGATCATGAGTCAATCAGAGTCAGACCACCATGAAAAACCTGGAAGCACTGGACGGCCATTTCGTCCTATCGTGGGACTCGTTAGCAGTGCACATCCACGATCCCGCCTCGCGATATCCGAACCCAAAACCTACCAGTCTCGCGCCAGAGCACTTAACTGATAGACCCCTGAGCTGACATCCAACGGTGTTAATGTTAATGCGGATGCGCATTGCTGAGGAGTCCCACAATACGAAGAAACGGTCGTCCAGTGCTTCCAGGTTTTTCATGGTGGTCTAACTTCAATTGACTCATGATCTCAACTATATAAAACTACTAAAATCTCCACAAAACCCCCTTCTAATTTTGTTGTGACTGTTTTAATCATCATATAGAGTAAAAATTTGAAAGGGAATAACACTAATTTCTGAAAAGGTAAATTACATAATAATTTAATTTTATTAAACACATAAGTATTAATACAAGGAAGCACCAGATACATACCCGACGCACGAATCTTTGTGTGAGGGTTTTGATACTGACCAGGTGCCCAAACTGAAGCAGGTGGTTTTCTTAAGGAGCCACACTAAGAGCCTTTGACCTAAAGATCTAACCCACAAGGCAGTGGAGCATCGTGAGGAGATACGGTCACATGGTAGCCGGTGACCAACAATTGATTGATATGTCATTTGTTCCATCAGGATACTGGAGCCAATGTGCACCATTAGTTTGGAATCAAGGTTTTCCAACTCCCCTAGGTGGACTTTCCATGTCCACCAACCCGGTTAAAGCTCCGGACATTCACTTTTCGTCCTCTCAATTTCGTAAGCAACAGTAATGTCACGAGAAGGCAGTGAGTAGCACTTCCCTGACAGAGGCTATATACGTGTGGTCATGTGAGAGCATTTCGTGAGGGAGAGCTAACTCTCCCTACTCTCGGTTGTACCAGGGCATTTGGGGGCAAAATTACATAATGAAATCATACAATTTGATTGAGAAGACAATGAACCAAAAAAAAAAACACAACTAAATACTTACTTCTTATAAATCTTCTAATATACCATAATCTATAAACAATGAGAAGACCAAAGATTTCAGCAAATGTTGAAGCTGTATCTGCTTGTAATGTAATATGTAAATAATTACATAATTCTAATACTTTCGATGAATTTATCATTCTTGATGGTCGATTAGAATGTCGATATATATTATATATATCTAATGAAAAACATACAGCACATATAAGACCATCTATAATGAATAATAATTGATGACCCCATTGACGAATACCCATAGCCCATATTTTAAATGGTACTTCCATAATAAATAATGATAATGTAAATAAACTTAAACATTCTAATGCTAATTGACCTTCTAAAATTAATCGTTGACTATTTCCAGGCTGAGGAAAAATTTTAAAAAAAAAGAGACATAAAGTAAGACAATAATCACTGGGTTATTATACAAATGGGGAAACATAGTAGTTGGACACAATAATCAATAACATATGTAGTGTCGAATTGACCATAAGAATAACCAATTACTCATGTCTAGTACGCCTTATCGCTAGTACTTTATATTCTTATAACGTTTTATAATATGTATATATAGGGGTTAAAAGTTAAGTCAAATAACTTTTGAATTATCTCATGATTAGTATGTAAGTGATAAAGCGTTACGTATCATTTAGTATTGTTTGTTTGAATCTTCCCATCGATGTGTTAGGACTGCGACTAATCAGTCTCTAATTGGCATATATGTACATACTGTGCATATTGCCTTGATATAGCCTAAATTCACAAGCATTGTGAGCAGAGATGGATAGTGGTTAGCAGTGGCTATTAGGACTCATTGGCCGAGTGGATAATGCGATGGCGTTTGAAGCGAAAGGTACTGAGTTCGAGTCCCAGAGTGAACATCAACAAGTCTTAGATGCAGGTACATCAAGCTGACGAGTCCTAAATAGGGCGAAACGTGCGTCCTGGATTCCACTGCTAGCCACCATCCGTTTCTGCTTACGTTACGTATCACGACTATACTCATCTGTAATATTGTGATGTGTGCTACTGATGCCGACAGATATAAATAGTATGTATCATCAATCAAAAGTGAAATACCTGTTAGTAGAATGTTAAGATCTAAGAGAAGAAAACGAGGAAAGAAGGTGTTTAGTATGGAAACGAAAGAACAATCAAGTCTCAGACAATTAACTGACAGTTTGCAAATGAATTTTAATAGGTATCGCTAATTTTGTGTTCCTAGATCAGATATTTAGATAACTTATTGTATATTCAATAAATACATGAACTGAGATCATTGGTAAACTTGTTCAATAGGATTCTTGGTGTATTATTAAAGTACAAGAAACGAATTAGTTCACATAACATGTTATACATTTGTTGTCTTTATTTTACTTAAATTTGTTCTCATAGCTGAAAGCGTGAGTCAATTGGAGCTAGACCACCATGGAAAACCGTAGAAGCACTGGACGGCCGTTTCATCCTATTGTGGGACTCCTCAGCAGTGCTCATCCATGGCCTCGCCTACCACAATAGGACGACACGGCCGTCCAGTGCTTCCAGGTTTTCCTTGGTGGTCTGGCTTCAATTGACTAACTTTTTCAGCTATGAAAATACTAAATCTTCACAAAAGAACCCCTTCTGATATTAAATTTATTCATTTGAAACACTTTGTGAACTTTGTTTAGCTGAAACCCCAGTATACAAGTGATCTCTGATTTCCAATGATTACTCAGGTAAAATCGGTTTCTGATCGAAAAAGCCTCAGATAATCAATATATTAACTTAGGGAAAAGAGATAGATATAGTACAAACCTATTCTCGTTATCAATTTAGGTACAGTACATATGAAAATACCATAAAAACTGAATAATCATTGAAAGATAAAAAATGCAGTGAATAGCTATATCGTAATTAGATAACTGAATAGCTGTATAATTATTCACAAATGTCCGGCGCTTTAACCGGGTTGGTGGACACGGAAAGTTTACCTAGGGGAGTTAGAAAACTTTTATTCAAAACCAATGGTACACATGGGCTTCAATATCCTGAGGGAACAAATGGCGTATGAACCTATTGTTGGTCACCGGCTACCATGATGCTGAATCTCTTCACGGTGCTCCACTGCCTTGTGGGTCAGACCTTTAGGTCAAAGGCTCAGGGTATGGCCCCCTAAGAAAACCACGTGCTTCAGTTTGGGCACCTGGGCAGTATCACAGCCCTCACACATATCAAATGAGATTTGTGTGGCGCATATATACCTGGTGCTCCCTTGTACCAATATTTATCATCTTATTAACGGTCATTCATGAAGTATTGCATTCTTTCTTCAACGTGAAGTTGTTGTAATCTCTGAGAGTCTAAATCTTCTGCATGTTGATATTTATAAATGAATGTGACCAGATTATGTTGGTACACTTACTTCAAATACATATCAATCGGTATCACCTGCATTTACAGGTTAATTATATGGTAAAATGTGGTCTATAATATGGAATCAAGAAGCTCAAGAAATATTGATTTGATTCATTTTTGATTATCAACACAGGAAAAATGAAATTTTTTAATGGTTACTTAATACATACAATCTTGAATAAATCATTCAATCCTTAGTTCACTAACTAACACCAATAAATTAGTACATCTCCACAAGTCCGGAAACAAACGGAATATACATCATGAACTCCATTACAAATCGATCACATACTCACAACATTATTCTGAACTGTATTACAACAAGAGATAGCAACAGTCGCAAAAACTGTATAACATTTTATACTTACAGGTAAACGTAATGATTCTGTTTCCAGTATTACTCGACATAATACTAATAATGCTTCAAAACCTGTCAGTCCAATAACTGATAAATAATATTTTCTCATATTAAACACTTGTTTTAAACGTTTCCTAGCTAATGTACATTTTCCAGATGGTCTTGTTTTTACCCTTGAATGTGGTATATTATTAATTAATTCCTTGTTAGCTTCATCCATTGTTGCCAGCATACTATTTAATGCATATATATTTGATTGTTTGTTTTTTATTGGATAGATTGTACGATTGAATCTGAAAGAAGAATGAACCAAAGATAACCAACTCTAAACGAAGATAAATCATACATATCTCCATGATGAGGATTATTGACTGACCATTAGGTTTATAATGACTTTAAAACACTTTAGTATGACGGTTTTATTTCATTTCTTTCTGAATAGATTCACGAAAATACTTTGTAGAACTTAATAAATACGCAAGAACAAATACAGACGAAGACAACAAATGTAGCAGCAGCCTCTGCATCAATAGGCCTCAACATACACAAAGGAAAAAAGGGAGATTCTCAAATATAACACGGAGAACGCCAACCCAATCACACTTGATGACGAAATTTTGGAAGATGTGGAAACATTCAAGTACCTGGGGAGCATCGTTGATAAACAAGGAGGATCGGATGCAGATGTAAAGGCGAGGATTGGCAAAGCAAGGACAGCATTTTTACAATTGAAGAACATATGAAACTCAAAACAACTCTCAACCAATTTAAAGGTCAGAATCTTTAATACGAACGTCAAGACAGTCCTACTGTATGGAGCTGAAACGTGAAGAACTACTACGGCCATCATCAGGAAGGTACAAGTATTTATAAACAGTTATCAACGCAAAATACTCAACATCCATTGGCCGGATACTATCAGCAACAACGTTTTATTTGAGCGGACAAACCATCTTCCATCTGAAGAGGAAATTAAGTAAAGACCTTGGAAGTGGATCGGACATACATTGAGGAAACCACCGAACTGCGTCACGAGGCAAGCTCTAACTTGGAATCCGGAAGGGAAGCGGAAAAGAGGAAGGCCAAAGAACACATTGCGTCGGGAAATAGAATTTGATATGAAAAAGATGAATAACAAGTGGAAAGACCTGGAAAGGATTGCTCAGGACAGAGTTGGATGGAGACTGCTGGTGGGCGGCCTAGGCGTAAGTAAGTAAGTATCTACCATGAGGAAAAGCTTTTTTTCAATATCGAGAAAATTACCAGTATTTCGTTTACTTACAGCGAATGATAACTGAGTTGTACTTAGTGTTAAATTCTTTTAACCGTTAGAGATAATCGAAATCTACTAAGCAATTAAGCCGTTTATTTGTCAGCACCAAAAAGTCGACAAACATGACGTTAGGCAATTTTTGATAGTTAGAAAGAGTATTCACTTTAGTTTTACAGGAATTCAGTTACCATAGACATCAACGTGAAGTATTTTAATGCTGAGAACACTGGTTCTTAATATCCGAAAATCTCAAAGTATATCTAGGTAAATCCAACTTGTGTTACAAACAGTCACCTATAAAACAGTTCAAATGTAACCAAAAATCATGAACATGTTTTGTTCACCAATACAAGTTTCAGTATGCGGTAAAAGCAGATTAATGTTCCTCATCATATAATGTTAACTGTTTTAAAGATGTTCAGTTACACCGTAAGGTTATACCATTAACTAACTTAAACTAATCCATCATTAAAAAATCAAAGTAGTTTAAATGGGATTCGTAACACCATAAGACTTTTCAACGATGAAAGCCCACGATTACTTGAAGGATATTACTTCACTTGAGGTGCTTTTGTGATGTTAACTAACTTCCTCTTGAACAACATCTACAAAGCTTTGGCATATCTATGAACTATCTAATGATATTCAAACAAAAATTAGTTATTTTAAAATAAGATCTATGTTTTACATTATCAATTTGAAATCTCTATTGCCTTCATAAAAGCATTAGTTTGTATACCACAGCAACTATATAATGAAAATAAAAACCGGGATCGGATAATTTTAGAAATAAGTAATAAATAATTCTTACCGACAAAACTCATGAGACAATCACTAAATAGAAAAACCAAATATTTGCCATTTCTATATTTCACCTTGTCAACTATGTATGAAATAAGTGTGCATGTTTCAGAGAAACCAAGTTTTTTTTCAAACTATATGCACTCAAAGTAAAAATAACTGTGAATCAGTCGAAATAGAACAATATTTGTAATTTCATAGTCCAATTAAAGGTATTTGTTTGTTTCTTCATAGTATACACTTGTATGTATATGTCTTTGTTTTATTGGATGTGTATTTATACTAGTGTCTACTTGCACATATGACAATATTTTGATCGATACAAAGGGTAACGATTTAACATTGTTTTCTTATTTTTATAAAATTTACTTAACATAATATATATATCGTATAACTGTTGCATGAATGTTGGTCTAGTTTATAAATACTACACCATCATGATCACAAGTCAAGACTTGGAATAGCTGCGAAAATCTGCATCTTCACATTTACTTTCAAATATGTAATGCTATTTATATTTTATTGAAAACATTATAATCCGTGATCCGACCTTCATGATAACTTCCACGACAAAGCAGAACAAACGTTGTCTGTCCAGCTTAAAAATTTTGTTTGATGGTACGCTTAATGATAAATTTTAAAGTGACGTAGGTGTTACGGAGATTAATCAGTGTTATTTTAGCTAATCTTGATTAATAGCATAGATTATAACACTGATTTAACAGTAGAAAGTAACTGATATCATGTTAAGCTAGTAACCGGTGATGGTCAATTTCTTTAGACCAAGCTACTCATCAGTTCAAATGGCTTAAATATATGTTACTATGCTATGGAGTTAGCGCTAGTTTGCGGAATGCCGTGGACATAAACTTTAGATTGGTTTCAACCTGTCTGTAAAGCTTCAATTTAGTCTTTTGAGAACTAATATCATGCAAATAGTGTGTGTCAAAATCTGTCAGTTGAACGGCCTCAAAAACTAACCATTTAGCAAACTGCGTCCAGAATCCTCAAGTCCATGATTTGAAGAAACTTAGCAATAAACGAATCATGCCTTTAGCCACGCATTATACACGTATACATGTATCCTAGAATTTATCAATACATCCGAACGGTTTCATCGTCCAAATTCACTGAATAGTGGGAAAGTAGAAACGACCGTCAGTCAAGTACCCCTCATTTTCAAAAATTTATTTTTGGTAAAGACCATATTTAAACTCACAACAACTGCACGACCAATTACAATGAATACTTGCATTAAAACTATATGGTGGTACGACAACTTAGGTTTTTCAATGAGTTACAACAGGTATTTGCCTACAAATTAGTACGTGTTGTAAAATTTCTGAACACGTTAGTCAATTGGCTGCCTGAATTTATCATGGAACATGAAAATTTCCACATAGTGTCAGTTCACTTTCACTCGTTATTAGTAACCCAGGCCAAATACCTTCAAGAAGAAACCGATACATTAGGATTTCAAAAATCCCTTACTGATGACAACGAAATTGAACAGAACTCCGATGCTTAGATGCTGGTAAATAATATCTATAAACGCGAAATAAAATAACTGTTCAACAAGAGGAATTCTAAGATACAAACAACATAACAAGTAAACCCTGGAATGTGACTGCAAAGCTAATGTTTGAGCAGCACCAAGTAAGCATCATTGATAATTGTAAAAGATATGCGAAATGTTATTGTGCGCCCGACATCTTGAAATCATGCTAACATCACATGGTAATCTCTAGTATTCCTTAAAATACAACTTGATCCAAGACATAATCCTCGCTCTCTTAATTGGGGAGAACATAACTAGCTGAGGTAAATAGTTAGTTATTTACGAAATTTTAGTGACCACCTGTCCATATGAGTGGTTTTTTACACAATGACTTTGTCCATTTAGGAATTATCGCCTTCTTTTAATTTAATTAGTGGGTAGGTATCTTATATCACCTTGAACAATACTAACTTTAATTTATACGAATAGATGATTGCGTATACATCATCTTAAGAATGAGAAGTTTTGAGAGCTTTGTATCAGCGACATTAGGCTAAGATGGTCTGAAAAACTCTTGCCTCTTAACTAGTAACGTTTGATAGGTATTTTGTGGTTACGTCTGAGCATTTTAACCATACAGCGAATTTCACTTCCGATATAGCAATCGATAACATGCATTTTTGCTTGCTCTGTCGAGTGAACGTCTTTTCGTTCACCTTAATCAGATTTTAGCAAAAACACCGTTTAAATTTTGCACGTAGTGAATGCCTATTTGTCAAACAATTTGCAGCTTTTGAAAACAGATATGATGCGTAGCATCTATGCTCCAAAAAATACCAGATGCATTATAACTAGCATACATTCAACTATTTCAAGAGTCACTCCTTAAGTATCTAAGTATTAATATATGTCCTTGATCATTTAGATCACAACCAACAACACAACATGAAATTTTTCGAACATCGTGTTAGTTCCTTCACCTGACACAATCTAACTACGGGTTGGTCAGCAGTGTATGTTGTCTAATTACTGTAACAATTTCAGACTAGTGTGTTCATGGGTCAAGACAATATGCATATCAGGTACTAAATGCCCTGCATCTTATCTTATCATCACCTCAAAGTATGAACGTTTGAAAGGCAGTAATAGACAGTTTGAAAAACAAACCTTCAGTAAGAACAAACTTGGCTAGTATTGAATTTATTTGAAGAAAACTACCTTCTTGGACACTCCAAATAAAAGTTTTAACACAGACCACCCATCTGTTTTACTTCTCAGTGTACTCAAAGACCGTGTAATAGTAAATAAATCCCCAAAATCAATAGCTCTGTAAGGTCTCGACATTGGATGCTGACCACATTAATTTTAATGGACTCACCTAGCTAAAAGCGCTCGGTCATGCATCCGCACCAAATCACGGATGGAAACGCCGTGTTCAACTTCTCCTGCAATCACTAGTCAGCTTAGAGCAGACGATCCTCAATATATTGATAGCCTATCAAATATATCTCCGAACCCTCTCGACTTCTGACTTTACTAAGTGGGCAAGATTTATGGTAGATGTTACTGGTTAAGGCATTGTCAAACTTTAGATACCTGTGGCATCCTCAACCGAAAGTTAAAAAAAGCCTTATATAAACAGCGCCACTGATCAAGAAGTATTTAAAATCTGAATATCAAAAACAATACTATTTTGAAATGAAGCTAAAAATGACTTATTAGTTGAGCAAATTATCTCTCCATGATCATTTGTTTTTGATACTTATATTTCTTGCACTTCACAATCGTCATATTGACATTCATTGCTGACTTATTAAATAAATATTTGATGAGTTATTTAAATAACTTATTTCAATGGAAATTTTGGATTAACAACAATATGAAATGTGTCTTCGTTAACCTTTGACTTTTGGTTCTTTCATATATTCAAAACAACATAAGAAGAAAAGGTTAAGGCACTAGGATAATGCCAACTGACCACGAACTCATGTGAGACTTTTGAATGAGCTTTATTATCTCAAGGTCAAAGTTTATAGGGGTTTGAATCGGTATAAACTAGAAAAAAATGACACACGATGACTCAAGAGTTAACTGGCAATTTGTGTAATCTGCTGTCTTGAATAGACCTAGCTGATTCTTTGCTTTATCAACTTAAACCTTATGGACTTTGAAGGCTTACAAAGCAATGTTTCAGGCATCATTTTGAGATTTGTGTATTAAAAAGACAGATGGTCTACAGCCTGTCTTGGTCCTTCTTTATTAAGCATCTGTGAATTGCTAGTTTTCTCTGGAAAGATTCAAATGAAGGAGCGGATACAACTTTTTTGAGTAACTGGTTCCAACATTTGGTGACTGTGTTAAAATCCCACAGTTCTGGAATCGTACAAATAGCTGCCCTCTCTACTTTTACCGAGATATCCGAATCACTCCTTAATACAGGGGCTAGCAGTTTGATCTTAGTTTTTAAGCTTAGACTTCACTAATGTTATGTATATTGTGATGAACATATTGGTTTCTAACTCGGTTAATATCCGTCTTGAAGGTCATCTAATTCTTCTCTGCGACCACACATGAGTCAGCTGTTGCTTTAAGATCATGACCCACTGTTACCTCAAGATCTCTGTGAGACCTAACTAGGGGCACTGAATACTCTCATATGCTGTACCCCTTTACCTTTGGATCCCCAATGTGCATTTAGACACACTCAGCCCAGCCGATATGCATCAGCCTATTTTTAAACTAGCCATTCAGAAGTCCTCCTGAAGCGAACATTCATCTGAGTCTCCTGTTATTTCTCACCAGATTTTCACAGCATCAGAGTACAGTTAGTATTGGGGACTCGACAATCCTTAGGAGTTCACCTACATACGGTATAAAAAGTGGAGGACCAAGGACAGAGACTTGCGGTACCCCACTAAGTACTGGTTCCTAGGCAGAGCACTTAGAATCTATCGTAACCTTCTGTCAACGACCTTCCAAGGAATCCCTGATCCATTTTGAGAGAAGTCCGGCAATTCTTAGAATTTTCAGCTTAAGAAGGAGCCTATTATACAGCACGTGATTCTTTACTGAAATCTGTGTAGAAAGAATCAATTGATTTTATATTATCTAAGGCCTATGTCCATTGCTCTCTTTCTATAGCAAGGTTTCATAAGCAAGATGATCGATTCCTGAAACCACATTGCTATTGGTTTCTTCGGATGTCATTATGGCCTTGTTGAATATACTCACCAGTATTTCAACTACGGCGCTGATGAGGCTAACAGGTCTGTAATCTGATAGGTTTTGTTTTGATCCTGTTTTATGTGTTGGGGTTTTAATCTCGTATATCCGGTTTGTAGGTAACTCACCTCGACGAGATAATATACTGAATTTCGTAGTCAATGGGACAACAATACGCCGTGAAATTTGTCTCTAGATTTTAAGTTGTAACTTGTCCGGTCCTATTGAGTTTTCCATGTCTAAAGTGCTAATGACCTTTAGCACGTTATCTGTAACAAAGTACGCAGTAGGCAGTCGATTTTTTATCTTGCAACTAATTTTTATTAACTCTTGAACAGAAGTATTTTAGAATATTTGATACGTTTTCTTAAACCTACATGCAGTTTCACTGTCAATCATTTATTAGGTTTTGATCATATCTGGGAATCACCAGTTTGAAAGATCTGATCTCTTTTTCGATGAAATAGCATTCACGTCCACAATGAGGGACTTTGAAGAGTCTTCTGTATGAAGTTTCCAAGGGTCGGCGTAGACGTTCAGGAAGTCCAAAACCATGTGTTCTACGTCGCAAGAAAGGAAGATCGATAAAACCAACTGAAGCTTTCGATCGTTTAGCTAACTTGTCAGCTCGCACGTGTTGGGCGGTCGCTCAGAAACAAGTGATTTCTAGTAATATACTAGGACAACAGTGAAGTCCAGATTCCAACTGACATCCACAGTCGATAATAGCAGTCAAATGCCACTCAAAGTTATCTACTTATGGTACGACGAAGGTGTTGGCCGCTGTTTCAGCCAGAATTTTCTTAATGGTTTGTGTTTTGTCCGGTCTGCACGGTCTGCATGGTGTTTTGTCCGGTCTGCACGGTCTGCATGCGTCAAGATGAAAGTTTTCATTTAAATCTGGGAGGATCCTAACAAATGAAGATGAACAAAGTCAAAAAGAGCGTCGGGATTTGCGAAGGAACATAAGGAACACTTGTTGTGTCTCGAATTCCCACATAGTGGTCACAAAGTGGTAGCTTGTCAACTAACTATGCGAAAGAGCTCTTGTGATTCTAATGAAACTAAGGTTCCCACATACATCAGAAACTTTATTAATGCCGAATAGGCCTGCTCTGAAATTCCACATCGTGTTCATAATCAGAGTCATTTAAAGAATTACAAGAGCTAGCATAAATCTAGCCTGATTTGTCATACATCTGTCTGTTCCACTACAAAATATCAAGCATTGTTCGGCGGTCCTATCCAAGTGCCTTGCTGATTCTCTGTTTCTCCTTTATTCAGAATCTTTCTCTGAGAGCACAGCTTTGGAACTTCTGACGTCTGGGACAAACTCAACGTACAAGTTTGCCCAAGGCCATAGTTCACACCAAGCGCTCCACAAGTCTACTTTATATCAAATATGAACTTAAAAAGTTGCATTGCATAAATACTTTACTCGACCAAAATTATAACACAATTATGCCGATATTGGATCTGGTGTGCAACGTTGACGCAATGCCACTGTGGAAAATATTTAAAAGTCTGTTTTCAGCGTAAACCTAATCAATAACGCTCAAAGGAATCTGCACAAATGTAGGGTTATTCACATTGCTCGATGATATTTATTTAACGACTCTTCTCGGGAAACATACTGTGAGCTAATAAATGTTGAGCATTGTTAAGCGTATGTATCGAAGAGCCTTGCTGTTACCTAGTTTCACCTTTCTACATCATCGCGCTCTCAAGACACAGCCATGAAGCTCTTGACGCTTCAACACAATCTTAACGTACGCTTTTTTTCAAGGTCACAGCTCATAGTAAGCGCCTTCTGTGTTAACATTGAAACAACCATATGCCTTACTTGGGAAGCGTCTAATCTACCAACCAATGTCGAATAACACTGATCGTGCTTCTAAGACTGGCGTGTACCTGTCCCGTCGGAAATACATATTATTATGCACGAACCTTCCAGAAATTCATCAATGACATGTTCAGGGGTTTCAATTACGTTTACGTGTATGTAGATGACTGCTTGATAGTTAGTCTCGATTGAGAATCTCATCTCTAGTATCTGGACGTTATTTTCGAAAGAGTGCAAAAGCATAGCATTACTGCAAACATTTAGAAATTTCAGATCGGAACTGACTCCCTTGACTTTCTCGAGCATGCTCTTTACACTCGAGGTATTCACCTCCTGAAAAGCAAAATGATGGCCATTCTGGTTGATTCGTAACCGACCACAGTCAAACGTTTACGTATGTTTAACGATCTGGTAAGTTGTTTATCGAAGCTACTTTGATATTATTGGCTGCTTTCGTATCCTGTTGTTCAACCATGGTTGCTTCTGTAATGATTTCTCTAACTCAGAAATGTGCTTTCATCTCATTGTCGTCCGAATAGATGAGTTTGGCATTTCCAAGGAGATGGTATAATAAAGGTCTCATGAGAGGCACTCGGTTCGATATGAATATCCGTACTAGATCGATGGGATGCTATCGGCTTCACGACTTGAGTTTGCATCAGTATTTTTAATTGCTACGTGTATACTACCAAGATCATAGTTAATGGAACTGAAATTATTTTGCTGATGCACTTGATGTTTATGTCTGAAACATGAGACTTATTCCCACTGCGGAAAGGCCATTTACTTAGCAATGACCGAAGTTAATAGTTACTTACTTACGCCCATCGTACAGTGAGGAATGGAAGATGTGATCGTCACTGTTTCTTGTACGCTTTACAGGAGACGACATAGGTTTCTGGATTTAGATGCGATAATAATAATAATTTATTCTCAGATAACTGTTTGTTACATGAGGCATGCCAGTTTCCAGGCAAAATCAAATTGTTACAAAACTTACAATTTTTCACCGTAGTAAATCACTCATATAGGTTGATATTTTATAAGATATGAATGTATATGGTTCTAGTAAGAAACACATTGTCAATATCACGGCTGGTTCGCTTCATGAAGTCCAGCACGTTTCTCTGCTTGTTTGTGTTTCTAACGCTAACTTTACACTCCCTCGAACACAGAATATATTTGGTGCGAGGCAATGATGTCTTCCCATGTACAATGCATTCCTTTCAGTTTCCTCAGCTGAGCCTCAGTTTTTTGATTGAAATAAAGCGTTATTGTTTTAACAGTCATTTGGGAGGAAATAGAGTGTACATAATCTCTTTATAGTTGTTGTCCTGAAGTTTTTGCATATGGCTAGAAGTGGCATAGTATATAGGAATGTCTTGTGATCGTTGTTGTGAAAACTTTCGTTGACCGCTACCGATGTTATAGAGATATTGTGACAGAATATCAAGTCCAGAATGTTCTGGTTTCATCTAGGCAGGTGTTCATGTCACTGTCAACTATGTATGCTTAAGGAACCAAATACGCTTTCAAAGTACAGCGGCTAACGTTTGTATTCCAGCTGATGCTTCGGAGGTTGAAATCACCACTAATAATTCCGCAGACAAAGTTCAGGGTGACAGTCTTAGAGGTTCATTCTAAAGAGCATATTGGTGTCGTGAGTAGGTGTGATGTTAGACAGGCGTAGTCTCATGTTCAGATGATTCAAGAACTGTCAGTCCACAGTGTGTTGCTGAGTCTTCTATTTCTGTGCACAGGTGCATGTTATGGGTGACAGGGCGCTGGAATGATTTTGAGTTTCTTCAGCGGGTCTAGTGATATCTCGTATCTAGATGGGCAAGAGGTTATAGCTTCCAGGGCAATTTTAAGACAGGTTACATCTACGCTATTCTAGGCTTTTATTGGAGCCACATTGGTAATCCTAGAACACCATAGAGGTACTACTGACTTGAGATTCAGTAACCGTTAGGTGTTTGGGTTCAGAATGAATGATTAAAGAAAATAGTATGCCTATGTCGGATTAGGACCAAAAGCGTTGCTTGATGTGCCATCGTTTCTCAGAAGTATGGGAAATGATGCTTACTTGTTTATGAAGTCGCCAACCTTGTGACTGTTGTGAGTGAGTAGACTGGTTTGATTAGTTTGCAGTTCATTGATGATTTGACGTTTGATGGTAGTCCTGTCATTGGTGATTTTAATTTTTTAATGTCGAAAAACGTCCTAGCAATGACTGATTGGTAAGGAGATGATTGGCTTTTGAGATACTACCATAATGAAAGAGGACGAGATAAGAAACCTCAGTCTGTGCTTAATGTAAATTTCTTGTAACACACCAAGAGCACTTTTACCGAACTTAAAGTTAACACTATCAAGTTTATGATACGCAATTACATTCTGAATACACTGAAGTCTTTTCAATACTTCTGAGTGTATATAGCAAATTGACTTCTCAGTGTGTTCTATAACTTCGAGATCAGGGTTTCTTGGGGCACTGGTTATATATTGATGTGATAATAAGTCGTGATTAGTTTGGGTGAGGTTAGGTTCCATTTGACTACTCTTACAATTACCAGTATTGGAGCTAATATTAAAATTGTTATGGTCGACATGGTTGTACACACCTTGTTGCAAATGTCAATCGGGTGATCAACACATGTATATACAACTGAGGGACGGAGTATATGCTTGAGTGAGTGGTCTGGGTCCACTTCAGTGAGCCTTTTATTGCAGGCAGGCTTATTTGCAATCTGTAGGTCGCTATAAAAGGCGTCGGATTGTGGGTTCACTTTGTGTTTGAGGCCAGACACACTTTCCAAAAGTAGCTCAAAAGAAGTAACTCCTTTGGGTGGACTAAAAAAAGTATTAAATGATGTCGATTCAAACGGTTTTAGGTTGGTTTTATCTATATCTGTGGGCGAGATACATGGGAGTGGGGTTTCCTCACCACGCACGTGGTGTATTTCTGATGAAGCAGTGAAAAGATCAGCGTACTATGCAGAATAGTAGGCGTGTTTACATAGCCTTGGTGATGGAGTTAGATTTTTTGCAGATGCTATGGGCACCACGGTTAGCGTTCTTTTTATCGAGTTAGTTTTATCAGGAAGATCATATATTTTTTAAAGACGGCTAGATAAATTTTATCTGTTTCTAAAACGTAATTAACACTGTTAGTATGCAAAATAAATAGTGTAGTCTATTGGACAGAGAAAAAGAGAGACGTAACTAATATACCGGGCAGTAAATAAAAGATAGGAAAAATGAGTTAACAAACAGAATATTGTTTTCGGATAAACATGAAATTGTGATTGATGAATAAACAAGGCATAGTCATAGAAGGTCAAATAAAGTGTTTTACTATTGATGAGCCTGTCTATTGGTCACACGTTTCAAATACATGAAAACAATTTACGAATACAGTATCTCCTGCCAAAAAATACCTTTAACTGAGAGTAAAAACTCGTAGTATCGGTTGATATGTTCAGCCCATATACCTTATTATCGCTTCAGGACAAGCCAATTTACCTACCTGTCATGAGTCACGTTTTGACCTTGTCAGTTTTTTGCTTATCAACCCTTACTGTTTTTATCTCAGCGCGTGTGTGTGTACACTTCTTATCCTATTCATCACATGTCTGTAATTTATCTTCATCTGACTGAAAATACTGAATAACGCTTGATAAAAGTGAGTTGACTTACCCGTCATCTTCAATGCGTCTCGTTTTTGCTTCGCGCTTTTCTATTTGTTTCATCCCTCTGATTTCCTGTCCAGATCAATGAGAGAACAAAATGTGGGTATTCAAAATCCATTCTCGTATTTGATTTATTTAGCTCCGTTAGTCATCAACGCGGATTAGGTCGTGTATTGCATACAAGTATAGAAAGCATGTTTATTTTGACAACGATCATTCATTTGATCTACATTTTGGATCAGTTCGCGACCTCTACAAGCTAAGGGCAGAAAAGCAAAGATGAATATTGGCAAGGAGTGAAATCAAGGACGCACGTTTCGTCCTATTTGGGACTTGTCAACTGGATGTACCTGCATTTCAGAGTTGATGTTGACTTCAAGACTCAAACCTTTCGCTTCAAACGCCATCGCTTTATTCTCCCAGTTACTGAGTTCTGAAATGCACCTCCTGAATTTCACTGCTTGTCACTATCCATGATTTTGACCAATCCTAAACTTTTAGGAGCTAGGGGGAGAGCTTTCGGTCACTATGTGATGTGCAACATCGCTGATTACAAGCGGTTGTTTTGGTCGTGTTCTGTGAAGTTCTCTGTACTTAGCAAGCGTCTGTTGGATGTATGTATCGATTATATGTTCGTCTGCAAACAAGTGTAACCTACAGTAGCGAAATGAAGTTCACAAGCAAACAATTTAGTATTTCCATCCATCAACCTTCGTTCTGTCTGGTAGATGAGTAAATTATGGTTTATCATTAGCCACATGTACGTTGATGGCCGGATGTGGTAGGCCATTATTAGTAACCGCCAAAAGAACGCTTACTTTTGCCCCAGCGTTGACGAAGTAGTGAACTTTCGACATAAAACCAGTGGTGTATGACAAACATCCGTTTTCTTCCGCTATGGTCTTCGTTAATGCGTCCTGAAATTTAAGGATAAAAATTAAAACTGGTGTTCAGTGTTAAGACAATGAAAAAACTTCACAGCTTGTTGCTCGGTGTACCAGTTCGTGTCGGGCCCACCATTAAAGATTTTACAAGTATTCAGGGTCTAACAACGTCTTTGTGCTTACCACCTTCCTAATCAAAGTATACCGACGTAGTCAAATCGGGAGTGGGAAATGAAGGGGTTCGGAGACATATTTGGGAAGCTACTGATATACCGAGAAGCGAATGGTCTTATATGGCTATTGGTTGCAACTGGTGCATAGCATGGAGTGCTTACTGGTGATTGGAGACAGCTGCATGACCGATAGCCTTCAGCTGGCGTTGTGTCCAGCGAAACTAATGATTTCAACATCAATATTGAGGACTTGTCGAGCCATTTATTTAGGGGGCTTATTGACCTTCACAAGTGCCTTGTCAACCAAATTCTTACTCCATTGCTGAGAAAAACACCTTTACGTCATACCCTAAACTAGTTACTTTGGAGTAAGTCGTTCGCTGTTTCGACCGTAGAACGTTTCAGTCAATGTTTAGTGCTTTTATCCGACTCCATTCGCGTTACGAAAAAATGGTTTCCATAATCTTAGTTCATAAGGTTAAGAATACTTTGGAACATATCCTTCAGCGAGCTTGCTATGGATTAGCTGGAAAATAATTCCTTAGGTTTCGAACATTAGTTACCTTGATAACCGTTATTGAATAAATCTCAAGAGTGTATAAAGTCAGACGGTAATGACAGATGACTACAGGTTGTTATAAAATGGTGCCGATCAATATACAAAAAGCATACCAATAGAATTCGATCAGAAAAGATAAGCGCACGAACAACAGAATACAGAGGTGAATTAAGAATCGAATCAACTAATAAAATTTGGGTGATGAAAGGTAGAGATTGTCTCCTGAAAAATGGGGAGCAAAGCGAGGCTGGGAAGACTAGTGAGCCAATTCCATTTAATCATGCGTGACTCAGCATTTATGTTCGGACAGAAATGTGCCACAGACATGTGACGTGTAGGAAAAACACTGCACACATAATCAGTCATGGTTAATAAGCAAATAATAAGCAAGGTCAAGATATGACTCAAGGAGAACAAATAAACTGGCATATTCGGAAACTAGAATAACCCATGAGTACTTGACATAGCATCAAACACTACAAGCCACCCATTCTGAACACTATTGGGCATCCTCTAGAATGCCAAACATAATTCATCCGATGAATGCTGGAAATTAGATACAAAACATAGCAAACAGGACTGAGGGCAAACATTGTACTTCTTATGCGTATTGGAGTTTTTGAATTAGTTACTTGGTGTAGTGATTCTAGAAAATTTTCTAGTGTTCGATGGACATAGTTTATCATGACAATTTATAACTACTTCCATCCTAATTATTTAATATACCATGGTCTTTACCTTGAGCCACAAATCTCACGTCAACAGAATACTTCTATCCCATCTATAACCATTTAACCCAACGGACACTCACCTTGAATATGGCACATATTCGGATGGTGTTATGCTATTCAAATCCAATATGATTATACTTCTTGCTGTATTCGTGCTTACATTTACTAGTACCTCTCCATTTGGTGCAAGCTCTAGCAGCAATGTCTGTGATTCGCAACAGAAACTGTTCGATCCCATTATCAAGGGCGGAAAAGCCTTAGAAGTAGTAAGTTTTCGATGCATTAATTTTCGTAGTTCTACTTCGTCAACGATACAAAAGAAACGATTCAGTTGACATGGGCAGGCGAAAACAGTGGGGTATTTTTTGTTGTTCGTGTCTTTAATGATCAGGTTTTGATACTAGTGACGATGACTGAGGGGGAGTCTGGCCCTGGACTAACATCCGACATATATCGTAGGTAAGAGGAAAATTTTTTAATGCCAAGTAGTGACAACAATGGTAAAACGTTCACAAAAATTACTCAGCAGTTGGGTGAGAATATTTACATCCGGAGAGAAAATGGCCTTCAACGTCATCAAAATCAGAGAGATTCGAAAGAAGTAAGTTTAGTCCATTACTCTCTCACAGAAAGCTCAGCTATTTGTAATATGTTATGATGTGGAAAATATGACCAGGTCTATGATTTTTGTAACTGAAGATGGGGGTTCTACTTGGGAAAGGTCTAGTGTACCATTTGTCTTAAGTGGTCAGCTGCGTTTTTATCCACGTGAAAGACTTTCTCCATGGGTTCTAACTTTAGAAGAGAAAACCTCGGTAAGTTCGCTTGACTTCTGTAACGCCTGCAACTCAGATTTTATATTTGTCACTTGATAACGGAAAAACATGGAAAAACATTCACGATAATGTTGTAGATTACTTTTGGTTAGTTATATGCAAACTAATCTTATAGTATTCAGGTCTGTTTACGAAATGGATCCAGGAGAAACAGTGTACATACTTTATCATCCACAATCCAGTAAAAGTAAGTCTGTTTATGACTTCTCTAATGATCCAATTTCAATTGCTTATCATCATTGAATCGTAAATTTTTGTTTATACTTTAATTTTAAATTGTGTATCTATAGTTTTGAAAATAGCAGTGTAACCATTTGATCGTCATATCTCCACAAATATTGGTTGTAGACTTCAAATGTCTCGGTTTAGTGGTCTAGATGTATAAAAGTAAGGTAGGAACGGAAAGGTTGAAGTTTTAATAAATCGTTTCAAAATACTTCAGTATACTTGAAGATAACAGGTTCTTCTCTAGAGGACTACAGTAAAGCTGCTGGAATTGTTGTTGAAAATAGTGAATTTCAAAACGTCTCCCAAGCACTAAAATGTTAAATAGAACTTGTAATACTCATTGTATACTTTACAAGTACTTCCTCTACATGCGGTGTTTGAATTAGGCCTCGATGTTGATACTCAGGGCTGCTAATATTACTCCAAGTCTTTATCAGGTCGTTTGAAAGTTTTTAAAGTCGTGAGACATGACTACTGTTTGATTTGTGAATAAGTAATAGATGTTGGATCAGGATCGATCACAAACGCGTAGTTGTATTCACTTTGTCTTCCCTTAAACGGTGAGATTAAAATTGCTTTATAAACTAATTTCTTCTCCCTGTATTATATCCTTATATACAATCTTTCTTTTATGTATGACCACCGTTGAAGTAACTGCTTTTATGAATTTGATGTTCATCATGTTGTTCTAGTGAGGTGTGGCATTTCGAACTTATGCATATATGTGCCTGGTCCTACGTTGTAGCTAACTGACTGGCATTTTTTAGTAGGACATTGTATTTGGATGCGAGCCGAATAACTTGTGCGGATCTATTGGTGATAAGTTTTGTTTGAAGTTTATGTAAACATTTATGGTCACTGACATACATTAAATTTTCCATGTCTTGTCCACCTTAATTTCCTCTCGATGTTATTTTGCTACAAATAAATAAATCAAGCTTAGTGTTAATAATTAACGGAAAGATCAAATGTATTCAAGAAATAAATTGAACCTTTCTTTTTTAAAAAAAATAGATGCAAGTGAAAGGCACGTACTGGCAAAATCTTCTGATTTTGGATTAACTTGGACTGAACTATTGAAGGATGTTATAAGAGTATGGGCTCCACGTGGAGTTAAAGTTGACATCCCCAGACCGCATGATAAAAGTAGTATTTCGTTTGATTCGGAGACAGAGCAAGACTATGAAACGACAAAACTAGGGCACTTTCTCTACGCGTCACACTTTGCAGATACCAAGAACCAAACTGTACAACTTAGCGTGTCAACTGACGGTGGTCAGACATTCAATAAAGCTCACTTACCGACTATACAAGCAGAAAGGGTAAGTAAAGCCATTTTCGATAACCTAGTATCTGTACGAATGGTTATACACTTGAAAGAGCACATCACTTAAGTTTACGGTAAACTGCGCTAATTTTACACACTGTAACTATTCTCTTGATAACAACTAAGAAAACATTTTGAAAGCAGAATGATTGACAAATGTATTGTAAAACTGGGCCTTTCCATTGAAATCTGATTTAAAAACTGAGATAAAATGGCCTCATGAATATCCCTTAATTTTGTTTATTCTAATAATCTTTAATTTGTTTGAAAGATTTTTCTTTATTAAAATTTATTGTCATGTGCCTAAATTCTATTCCACCTCTTTGATAAATTTTATATTCTGTTTAATGGCTTCTATATGAATTTCACACAGGTCCTTCAAAACCTTGAGAATTCATGATATTGAAGTGTGACAGAAAATCATCTATAGTCAATGTCTAACTTGACATAGACATATGCCTATCAAAGTAGCCACACGTCACATTAACACAGTTAATGAGGAAACTAATAAGTACACTGTAGTTATATGTTTGGTTAATGATAATAGGCTTAAGCAGTGGTCTGATTCTACTCACTAGTAAAGTTTGGAATTTAAGTGAATTGTGTTCAACAATTATTGACTTACAGTGATGGGATTTGTTGGCTAAGTTTCGTATTCATGAGAGTTCAAGCTCAGTCAGTCAGTCAGTCAGTCAGCTACAACGTAGGACCAGGCACATATATGCATCGGTCCAAGTTGCCATACCTCGTTAGCACAACAAGATGAACACCGGATTCATAGAAGCAATTAATTTAGTGGTGGTGGTATATAAAGAAAGGTTGTATATAAGGATATCGAATAGGAAAAAAAAAGTTATGAAGCAATTTTAATCTCAAGGTTTAAGGGAAGATAAAAAGTGCATACACCTACGCCATTGTGATCTATTCTGAGCCATGTCACCCAGTCTCCAACCATTGATTACGATAGTCAAGCGGACCCCAACCAAGTAGTCTGCATCTGCCAACATGGCTCAGACTAGAAGTTAGTGACTTCAAGCACTGATGCCATGTTTTGTTTTGGCTGCCCCTAACTTTCTTCCAACTATCCCCTACACTAGTCATCATAGCGCGTCGTGGTAATCGGTGTTCAGGCATACGTAACACATGGCCCAACCATCTCAGTTGATGAAGATTCATGACCTCATCAACTGATTTACCATCATTCCCTAATACCCTGTGTCTAACCTCACTTTTACTTACCCGGTTATCCCAGCAGATGCGAGCAATATTTCTAAGGCATCTGTGGTCAAATACTAGTAACTTACGAGTATCTTCTACTCTTAATTGCCATGTTTCGCAGCTGTAAGGTAAACCAGAGCGAACTGCTGCGTAGTATACTCGTCCTTTAATTGATAGACGGGTATCTCGTCTTCGCCATAGGTGACGTAAGTTAGCAAAAGCCAAACAAACTTTTTGAATCCATGCTGAGATTTCGTCAGACACCAACCCGTTAGGACTGATCAGACTTCCAAGATAAGTGAAGTTGTCGACGCGTTCGACTACTTCACTCCCTATCCTTAGTTCAGGTGTTGACGCAGGCCAGTCCTGGAGTAACAATTTACATTTAGATGGGGAGAAACGCATCCCAAACATCCTGGCATTATTACTGAGTTCCAACAGAAAACTCTGCATTTTGTCAGCGTCTTCACCAAACAGGACTATGTCATCTGCGTATTCTAGGTCGCTTAGTGGTCCCCCTGATGGAAGATCAATTCCTGAAAATTCAGTCGACGAGAGTGTTATTTCCAGCAACAGGTCTATAATGAAGTTAAACAAAAATGGGGATAGTGGACAGCCTTGACGGACACCACTTGAGGTTGTAAAATCATATGACAGTTCGCCATTAGCTCTCACTCGACTGGTAGTGTTCGAGTAAAGAGCCTTCACAAGGTTTATGTACTTCTGAAGTACACTTTTTAATGACAGACACTGCCACAAGTTCAAGCTCTATCCATCAATATCAAAAAAGCCTCTCATTTTGGTTTGCTTTACGTCAACCGCATTTTGTTTATGCTCATCAGATAGATTGCTGAATATTGCCTATATTGACCAATTTATTATCATTTCATTATATAAATATTTTGACCATCAGCAACTGATATCAAATTTTTCTAACCACCATTAGGTAAAAGTTCACCTTGATAATGTAAACAAGCCGAGAATAAGTTTGGTGTGTTCGCATTTAATTTTCAGTTTTTTTATCACTTATTTATTTATTGTCCTTGAAGTGTTGAAGAATATTTGTAGCCCAGGTGAAGATATTTTTGAAGTGCTTCACACTTTGAAGTGGGTGGCTTCATCACGAGTGAACGTTACAACTTATAATAACTGATGTACAATACAGAATCCACAAGTGCTAATGGATCATAGATGAACAGAAGAGGAAGCTAAAGAGAATATTCACATTAGAACATTTGAAAATCTTGACAACGGCCATTGATATACTAAGCGGACAACACAAAGAATAAAGAAGAAATCCCTTCAAAAAAACTAATCAAGACTTCCAAACCATCCACAGAAGAAAACGCAAGGAATTGTGTAGTTAACATGTCAAAACAATTTTTGACTAACAAAGAAGAACAACTTTAGAAAAGACCGAGGTACAATAAACTGAGGAACTACTTGTGGGTATAAGTGTACATAGGTTGATGGACATGATTCCAAGCAAAAAGTTCGATAACTAAGTCTTAGAAGCTTAGTACTCAGGTCGATCAGCAATCAAAAAACATCGAAAGCGATCCAAACTATCAACCAATCAAAGCAATCATGGACAATATAGGGCCAAGAGTCAGATCAAATTGGGATACAATAAAAATAAAGAGGCTGATGATGACAGATTAAAGATCGTCAATAACCAGTCATGATCGAGGTCGACAGGATAAGCTGCGAGTCCTATGTGGAAAGATTCGGACACTTCGCTTCCACCTGAAGTTTGTGCTGATGTTATTCAGAAGAACAAATAAATCTCCACAACCAAACTATCCAGCTCAGAGAATGGAACTCCACCAAAACCTGGGAATGAATTTTAATTAGTCTGTATTGCGATATGTGCGGGTTGTGCCAGTCAGTCACGATTATGATAGGATAGATGGAATTTTGTTAGGGATAAAATTCAAACGTCATGCCGGTTGAACAGATTAGTGACCATTTGCACTCATTAGATCCTTGGATAATGTGTATGAAGTAAAAGGTACTAGGTTCAAGTTCCACTTTGAAAATAAAAACCTGGATCTAGGTACATACACCTGATTAGTTCCAAGTAGGACGAAACAGTCATTCTGCATGATAGTGCTAGCTACAACCTAACTATTTTGAACCACTGAAGTCACCGATGAAGATTTTTCTGATAGCAGTCGGTCATCTAGTTACAACATAGAACATGGCACGTATGTGCATCGGTTCATGTTATCATATTCCGTTAGCAAAGAGAAATGATATTATTAGTAATTTACATAATAGAAGAGGTAGTAATGTAGTGAACGAGAACACAAATGGGGACAGCCTAATGTATTTGAACATCAAATTACAGAACATCTTACTAAACTCTGGGAACCAATTCAGTGAATACTTAATTTGTAAAATGTCAATCAATTGTCTCAAACTTGACAGTTCCTTTTGCACATATCAGTCAGTAGTCTCAAACTTCATTGTTCCTGCATTTCCATGCCAATCGCTTTCTGTTCCCGTTCCTTCCTCCTCGATCTTTTTGAACTTCTGCTGCGAGACATTCTATTCCTGACTAGCGTTATATACTACTACTACGCACCACAGTAGTAGTATCAGTGGTGATTGAAAAAAATTAGGCAACGAAGATAAGATTCAAGAAGAAAATACAAACTAGTGAAATAAAAGCACAAAAAGATGTTACTAGGAATTCAGACGATAAAGGATTGATGCACATGCGCTATTGCCAACGATTTTGAGCCCTGTCATTAAAAGTCTCTAATCAATGCTTACGATAATCATACAGACTTCAACCAAGTAGTCGATACATATTACCGTGGCCCAGTCCAACTGTTAGTGACTTCGTGAGCTGATGCCATCTTTCGCTCCTCGAGGTAAGTGTCGATTGGGCATACATCTCCTAAATACTTCAGTTAATAAAGGTTTACTACCTCATCAAACGATTTGTCGTCTTTATCTAGTACTCTATTCTTACTCCAGCCATTGCGTACTCCATTATCCCCAAATACACTAGCAGTACTTCGTTGACATCTATGACCAAATACTAGTAACCTATGAGTATACTCTACTCTTAATAGCCATGTACAACTAAGCGAACTGCTGAGGAATAAACTCATCCGTTAATTGATAGACTGATGTCTCACCTACATCACAAGCGCCATAGAATTGTCTTGCGTCTGTTACCACTAGGGTTACTTAATTAATAATAATCATTATAATAGTAACAATAAAATAGTCAAATTAATTTAAAATCAAATTGATGACTCTTTTATTAAACAATTAAAATAAAATTTAATAGGCATTTCCCTCTCTCTCTCTGTCTCTGCCTCTGTGTATGTCTTTATAAACTTTTCCAAGATTGTCTGATTGAAGTTTAACTGTTTAATCTGATCAATAAATAAGTAAAAACTTTGTACATATTGTTTATTCACATCTATTAGATACTATCTATGTGTGTACATGCGCATGTGTACTGAATTGAGGTTTGGATTCATGTATGTTAGTCATTGTAAGTGTTTGGTATTTTGGATGATGTACGAAAAAAAGTCGATGACATTTTTCGGTTAATTAATGTCCCTACACATTGAATTTGTTCAACCTTGGTCGTTGTTATTCAAGATGATGAAATGAATTGTTATGGTTATTATTATTATTATTATTGTGAATCTATGATTAAATGGTAGAGAAAACGTTGGGACTAATGTGTATATGTATATGTAATACCAGATAAAATTCTCCACCACCCACTCCCTGTCCCCAAAAAGTGTTATATGTATTTCTTAATGTTTGTGTATATATTTTCATAAATAACTATTGTATTGTATGGTAACGTATAACTGAAATACCATGAATAAATTGTATATATAGTTTAGATGAAGTAGTTTTATGAAGATTACTTTATTGTGTTAGTGATATTTGTTATGGGTTGATCTCATTTAGGATACCACAGAGAACTAGAAAGCATCAAACAACTGCTTCTTTCTAGTATAAAAATCATGAGCTATAGACAGTGACTACTTTACAAAGGATCAAATTAGTTATCAAAAATGCAACAACCCTCGAGTGTTTTCTGGTCTTTAGTAATACCTCAAGTGAGATCGATCCGTGGAGAGTACTATCGACAGAATAAGCTACGTGAACAATTTTTCCAACCTCCAGTTGAGATTAGTCTGTGATGTATAAACAATTAGTACTACTGAACAAAGTGAGTAGTGATAATAATTAAGCATGGTTAAACAAACTATTTTACTGAATAATGACAGGGAATATACATCTACAAACCATCATGTATGTATAAAGGTAATAACACTAAATGGTTGTTTAGCTCAAAGTGATTATTATGAGATTTATATGTACAAACCACTTATTGCATGTTGAATCGCTAAATAACCTTGCATCTGCTGGGATCACCGGGCAAATAATAGTGACGTTAGACACAGGGTATTAGGGAATGATGGTAAATCAGTTGATGAGGTCATGAATCTTTGACGACTGAGATGGTTGGGCCACGTGTTGCGTATGCTTGAACACCGATTACCACGATGCGCTATGCTGACTAGTATTGAGGATGGTTGGAAGAGAGTTAGGGGCAGCCAAACCAAAACATGGCATCAGTGCTTGAAGTCACTAACTCCTATTCTGAGCCATGTCGGCAGATGCAGACTACTTGGTCGGGGTTCTCTGATAGCATTCTCGCGAACGCCTCTCCTAGGTCATTTCCTGTAATAATAATAATAATAACAATAATAATGATTGTAAGCAAAGATGGATAGTGGCTAGCAATGGAATCTGGGACGCGCGTTTCGTCCTATTCGGTACTCGTCAGCTGGATGTACCTGCATCTGAGAGTTTATGTTCACTCTGGGACTCGAACCCAGTACCTTTAGCTTCAAACGCCATCGCGTTTGTTCACTATGTTACATTAACAGCTTTTTTGAAATTTTCGGTAGTCAATATTGTAGTTAGCCAATTAGTTGTGTTGTGATCAGTTTCCATGTTAAGCTAACTTCTTTTTTCAATCTTCATTAAAGTTAGTCGATTTTTAATTTTTATTGCATCAATTAGCTTAGATAAAACTGAATACTTCCAATAGTTTTCAAAAACAGTTGCCTTGTCACTAACTGTTTTTTTATGTCTGCTTCTATAAAGGGCTTAATATCTCCAAAAAATAATTTAGGATTAGTTACCATGTCCTTCGTTAACCGGCCATTTAATTTCACACTTGTCACTCTCATATATTACTAGAATAGTAATACTTCCCGAACGAGGGATTTCTTCATTTAGTCAGGCATCAGAATCCACGATTAAAAACGATTGAGTGATCATAAAAGAAGGAGTTATTTTAATTAAATGGATAATCTTAAACGGTTTGTTCCACAATAATGTTTATTCTAGTTTTATCAGACTATTGCCACTTCAATTTAACATGGATACAGGTTAGTATAAAGTAAAAATTCATGTGGAATTTCAGAAGACAATCATTTCTTACTTATTGACAAAACATTCATTCAATACACCTATAATACTTCTTCACATGACATACTCTGCGTACTCTGAGCACGCTCTATGCTAACTAGTGTAGGGGGTGGTTGGAAGAAAGTTAGGGTCGCCCAAACCAAAACGTGGCATCACAGCTTGAAGTCACTAACTTCTGGTCTCGGCCATGTTGGCAGATGCAGACTACTTGGTTGGGGTCCGCTTGACTATTGTAATCAATGGTTGGAGACTCTGTGTGACATTGTTCAGAATCGATCACAATGGCGTAGGTGTATACACTCTTTATCTTCCCTTAAACCTTGAGATTAAAATTGCTTCATAACTTTTTTCCTTCCTATTCTATATCCTTATATACAACCTATCTTTTATATATTACCACCACTAAATTAACTACTTCTATGAATCCGGTGTTGATCTTGTTGTGCTAATGAGGTGTGGCAACTTGGACCGATGCATAATTGGGCCTGGTCCTACGTTGTTGCTGACTGACTGACTGAAATAACCTGTGTAAATTATTATTATACATAAACTATCCAACTTGTCTGTTCAATTTAAACATTAATTTTTAGCTATTACTATCATCAATCGATCAGTTGTGGGAGAGTGTGTTATCTGTCACAAATTTCATACACTTGTCTAATTTGTCACACTTGACTTTGTCACAATCTAAGAGAGGAAATAAATAAGGTAACAATTAGGGAACTAGAAATAGTAATAAGATCATTCTTTGCTCACAAAAATCAGATACAGATAATTTGTCAGAAGGGGTTTTGTGGGTATTATAGTAACTTTTGATAATGGAGATCGTGAATCAATTGAAGCTAGATCATCATAGAAAACCTGGAGGCACTGGACGGCCGTTTCGTCCTATTATGGGACAATAGCATATTAAACCATGGGATTTAAATTATGAAATGAAATGAAAGCTTAATATTTAATGGAGGCTATGGAATAGATCAGTTTGGGTCGCTAACATGGATTTTTACGTGGTTGAAGTCCTCACGGTCGCCGTAAATAGTGTTTTGAAACGTTAGGTGATGCAACTTATAATCGGTCACAAATGGCGCGCATTCATTCACTTTCTGTCTTCTTTTACATATTTACTTTGAAGATTATTTTAGACATTTTTGGAAAGAAAATCGTTTTAAAGTGAATTTCACCTCTCTTAATGAGTTTTATTAAAAAGTGAAAAGACCTTAAGTTGGCATCAATTTTTCTATTTCTAAGGTTAAAATGGGAACAAAATGTACATAAGTTTGTTACTCAATACAAACCAGTATCATCTTTGTCTAGTACTGGCTGAATTTTATTGATCTAATCTTAATGTGGTCATTAATTCAAACAGTTCAACACTGCATCAATCATGAGTTTTTATTCTCCAAATATTGTGAGGACAATCAATTTCTCCGAGATTTCAGATAAAGCTTACTGACGAATACTAACTGGTATTAAGTCTAGATCAGATATGTTTTCCTGGAGATTATTTTTAACTATCTAACACTAAAGAAAACTAGTAAACCTTAATTAGAAAATATGTTCAGAAGGTATAAGTTATCATTTGAAGATTGATTACAAGTCAGTTGGTCAACTAATAACCAATATTTTTAAAAAAAATCTAAAATACATTGTGTCGTGGTATGAAAGAAAGCTGCAAAGGATTGGCTTCTGTTGGTCCTTCCCGACTCCCTATCTGGGGTCCTAGAGATGGTGCAGCACAATGGCTAGAGACGTTATCAGATATGGCTCAGTGTAGAAGCCAGTAACGATCGTATTGTAACCTTCCCTTACTTTCTTCATAAAAAGTGATTATAACTTCCCTAACTGAAAGAATTCTTTCCGGTTTTACCTTCCCGTTTCCTCCATTATCAAATATATCAAAAATGTCAAATATGAAGACAAATTAAAGAATAAACTAGCATTAACGATTTTGTCCAAAAAGAAAGTAGACAATTATCTTTTATTATAAGCAAAGATGGATGGTGGCTAGCATTTGAGTCCAGGACTCGCGTTTCATCCTATTTGGGGACTCACCAGCTGGATATACCTGCATCTTGGAGTTGATGTTCACTTCGGGATTCGAACCCAGTATCTGACTTAAGGCAATATCAAGGCCATCCTCACAGGATTCACATATGCTATTAAGAGACTGATCAATTGCAGTCCTAAACATTAATGGGAAGATTCAAACAAACAATAGAAAACTGAATTATAAGCAGAGGTGGTAGTGGTTAGCAGTGGAATCCAGGACGCGCGTTTCGTCCTATTTGGGACTCGTCAGCTGGATGTACCTGTATCTCAGAGTTGATGTTCACTCTGGGACTCGAACTCAGTACCGTTTGCTTCAAACACCATCGAGTCACCCACTTTAGATAATGAGTCCTGATAGTTACCTACTTCTGCAATAGGAATTTTGTTGGAAGTTTTATATTTTCTGCTGTTATTCAGTTTGGACAATATTCTAACCATTGGACAGAATATTTGTGGCTAAAATCTGTCATATAAAGCTGTAGTTGTATCTGAACATTAGACTATCGCTCGATATGTATTTCTACATTACTACTAGTTTTGAGTGGTGGTTGCTCCGCAGGACACATTGAGAAGCTGTGACTAATAGAGTTTAACTATCTCTGGTATTAAGCATTTTTCTACCAATAGTAATGAAAGATGATTACTTAGTATTGCCGATGAATTGAATTTAGGAATGTTAACCGTTGTATCCTGACTCAGTGGTTGAAAGAATAAGAGCTCACCGCCAAATTTCAAGGTTTTGAGTTCGTTAATGTGCATAACCGAATGTCTTTGACTGGGAAGAAACAATTGTCCGGTGATTTTTGAATCTCGATGGTTATCTAACTAATATCAGACTGTTTTGGAAATTGTTTATATATATAATATGTATACATAACTTCACAAGATATTAGGTAAATTATTGCTTTCTTTTTTTGATCGTGACCGTTAGTTTTATTCAGTTTTGGAAGTTGAAGATGATTCAGCGTTTGTTCATGTGGATGCACCTAATGGTAAGTAATTAAAGTTTCAATTGTACTCATAGTCTTACATAATCATTTCAATAATATATATATTTATATACATACTTTTTTTGCACACAAGTTTTGGATAGAGTAAAATCTATAGCTCTGAGTACATGGAGTAAGAACGTGGTAGATAGTTTTTGAAGAAGTCAGTCAGTCAATCACAACGTACAGTTTCGTACGTATGTACATCAGTTCAAGTTGCCATACCACATTAACACAGAGATGAAGTTATCGATTCAAATCCCATAGTAGTAGAAGTAGTAAGAGTATAAGCAGTAATCGGAAAGATTAAGGTTTGAAGATGTTATTGAAGGAGTATAATCCAGTGAAATAAATTTGGAAAGAGAAAAAGGATTGGGACACGAAGAATTCGGAAGATTAGAATTTGGGAGAACACAAAGAGTGGATGCACCTTTGCTATTGCAAACGATTTTGAGTCATGTCATATCGGGAAGAAGAAGAAATTAAGATACCAATTAGTCGACTATCCTCTGCCCGAAAGTGAACTTGTTAACAAAAGAGATTCCTTTGCTGAATTTTATATGTTCTTTCTAATTTCATAAACTGCTTAAAATTTTATCGTAGTAAATGAGAACACAGATGAGAACAACCGATTAAGTATGTAGGCATAAATTACAAAGTTCCTTAACAAAATACCAAAACCATACTCTGATACTCTATTTGCAAAATGTTCATTAATTGTCTCAGGCTTCATTGTTCCTGGATTTCTGTACCAATTGCTTTCTATTTATGTCCTTTTCTCGATCTTCTCAATGTTCTGCTGCCAGATATTCTATTCCTCACTCACGATATATACTATTTATGTCGATATAAGTAGCCCACATCACAGTATCTATGAATGATTATATTCCTGTCTATTGGTTAAATGCGAGTCTATTCGTCTCCGAATCATGTATATCAATATAATATGTTAGAAATTTTTACAATTACAGTTGTGGGCATTATAGACATATAATGTGTTATGACTGGTCGTCGTTAATTGTTATGTCGGAACCGCTTATCATTTATAATTGTGAAATGAGGAATTACTCCAATTCCCACGACGTTAAGTAAACACATCATGACTGGCAAAAGTAAAGATTTATTAACCCCATAACACAACAATGACCCTAGTCAAATATTCAGTCATTTATGCATTGGTTTAATACTGATTTTGATTAATTATAAGAATGAAATTACACTTATTAAAAAAAATACCCAGAGTTATAATATGTCACATGTTGCTATATTATACTGAGCCTAGTTCAAGAATATTGTAACTCAAATAAACATCATACTCAAATATATTCATATTATACCAAATACAATAACATACTGAAAAACAGAAAACGAATATTACTCTGAATAATCATCATATTCAATTCACTTAGTATTAATTATCAGAAGGGGTTTTGTGGAGATTTAGTATGTTTCATAGTTGAAAGCATGAATCAATTGAAGCTAGGCCACCATGGAAAACCTGGAAAAACTGGACGGTCAACTCGTCATATTATGGAACGCCTCAGCAGTGCGCATCCACGAACCCGCACTCGCGAGATTCGGACCCAGGACCTAACAGTCTCGAGCCAGAGCCCTTAACCGATAGACCACTGAAACGGCTGGCATCCAACGGTGTTAATGTCAAACTTCAACTTATCCACGAAATTGAGCAACCATTCACCATTTGTCTTCAGTGAGGTGATATCTCCCAACAGACCTGGTTGAATCAATCACAATGACGTAGGTGTATACACTCTTTATCTTCCCTTAAACCTTGAGATTAAAATTGCTTCATAACTTTTTTTCTTCCTATTTGATATCCTTATATACAACGTATCTTTTATATATTACCACCACTAAATTAACTACTTCTATGAATCCGGTGTTGATCTTGTTGTGCTAATGAGGTGTGGCAACTTGGACCGATGCATAATTGGGCCTGGTCCTACGTTGTTGCTGACTGACTGACTGACTCTGAGCATTCTGGTTTAAGATTTAACAAATAGGAGTAATGAAAATCTCCCTTCAGAATAATAATTCATAAAAATTCAAACAGCTTAGTAAATACAACACGGTGCTTAAACTTATCAGATTTTCATAGCACTAATTCATTTTAGTGTATGTATTACATGAATTTGTGGGAAAATCTTATAGATGAAATGAGTATTTTGAGCAATTTTCGTTAAATCGTTTATGTAACACATTTATAAAGTTCAGAATTAATTACTTGCCTTTGAAAATTACATTTTTGAGATAAGATGGTGGTTGGAGGTGGTCAACAGGAAACCCTGGACCCAGGTTTCGTGCTACTTGGCACTCGTCAGCTAGGTGTACCTGTTATCTTTAGGGAACTGGTGTTTCTTGACGGACTCCATCCCGTGTCACTCAGCTTCACAGTCAGAGACGTTACCACCGAGCTATTCGGGCCTCGACCGACCTCCTGTAATCACAAGTGATTGATCACTAGGTGGTGATCAATGTCATGCGTGTCAAGTCCTTCTTCTTTCATAATCAATGTTAATAACTCTCTACAAAAACCAAATTCAATTAAATAAGGTCTTCACTTGTAACTACATAAAATCTTGTTTTTTTTTAATAACGCTACAACAACGCTTTGAGAAAATATTGAGTACACGATTCTTTGATTCTTATTCTATCATATTATACAGTAATAAAACAATCAGTTTATTTTCAAAATGTATGGTTAATTTCATTTTCTATCGGTATAAGCTTTTTTTCAAGTGAGTGAGTGTTCAAGAAACCCTTATCCACCTGAGTTTTTCACTAGTTAGCACTCATCACCACCAATTACCTATAATTTCTATGAAACTTATACCTTATATGGAATTTGAACCCGAGTACCCACTAAGTCACCACTAAGCTATTTCAGCCATCACTAACGTAACGCAGGATTAACATACATACAATTCTTCGATTAGTGATTAGTCAGCGGTACAATTTTTATATCATGAAGTAAGAAGTCATTGCACAGGTCATAAGTTTAAACATGTAATTTTCATGATTTGTTCATTAAGAAAAAGGTTTACTCATATTATTGTGTTATTGTCTTTTAATAATTCGTAATAACGGATCTTAGCGTAATGTTAAAATTCGTGAAAACACTGTTGATCTATCAATCATCTGTAACAGATCGAAATAATGTATTTCAGCGTCGATTAGTTTCAACTTACTATATCAATATGCTGATGAAAACACGATTACAACTTACAAGATAATGACAGTTAACTTACGACTCATTTTAATATTGTACATTGACAAAATGTATATGATTAGCCTATTCGTTTCCTCTGTTATGTATGTAAATCCAGTACTCATTGTATAATGAACGACAACACAAGTGGGGACAACCAAATGTGTTTGAATACCAACTTACGGAATTTCTTTGTAAAATCTGAGAACCATACAGTAAATAATTCATTTGCAAAATATCCATCGATTGTATCAGCACTTGTTGCTCTTTCATTTTCATACCAATCACTCTCTATTCTCGTTCTCTTCTCTTCTATTTTCTCAATTATCTGCCTCTAGACATTCCTCTTTTGATTGCTGATACATACTACTTATATCTACGACATCAGTAGCATACACCATAATTGAATTATTGTTGATAATTATATTTCAATATTTTCATGGTTGAAATCATGAGTCAATTTAAGCTAGACCACCGTGGAAAACCTGGAAGCACTGGACGGCCGTTTCGTCCTATTGTGGGACTCAGCAGTGCGCATCCACGATCCCGCACTCGCGAGATTCGAACCCAGAATCTACCAGTCTCGAACCAGAGCCCTTAACAGATAGACCACTGAGTCGGCTGGCATCCAACGGTGTTAATGTCTAACTTCAACTGATCCACGAAGTTAAGCAACCGTTCACCATTTGTCCTCAGTGAGTTGATATCTCACAACAGACGTGGTTTGAACTCCTCTGGTCACTGGTTCTCACTAGAACTCCTGGATGTACTTCTCGAAGTCAGTCACTAGTGAGCATATGATTATATATTAATTATGAGAAGGGGTTGAAAATTGAATGAATTAACATGATTAACTTTATAATAAGTGATTTGTAGACAAACAATTAAATTTTATAAACAGTTTTTATCGGAATCCGAATCTCTTAGCTAAAGTTCTGTCTCTTAGAACATTAAAAGTTATATATTTCAATATTATTATTTTTATCAGTCAGTCAGCTACAATGTAGGACCAGGTACACATATGCATCAGTCCAAGTTGCCATACATCGTTAGCACACACCTGAGCCATTGTGATCGGTACTGAGTCATGTCACCTAGAGTCTTTAACCATTGGTTACGATAGTTACGTGGACCCCAACCAAGTAGTCTGTATCTACCAACATGGCTCAGACTAGAAGTTCATGACTTCATTGACTGATGCCACCTTTTGGTTTGGCTGCCCCTAACTCTCTTCCAACCATCTAAGTTAATGACGATAAATGAATAGGATTGAAGTCCCATTAGGACTTCTATTTCTCTAAAGCTTATGTGTAAACCTTGATGAGGAGTTAAAATAGCATAAAATCTAGGTTAAGTAGGGTATCTTTCTGTCTACCTTTAACTACTTAACATTAAAACATTAAATCTGTACTCATTCTACATTCCTTCACATTGTGTATTACAACATTAAGGTTCTTTTATAGTCAACGATTATTCAATATAACACAGTAGTCATATTATTTACATACTTTCACAAGGTAATTTTCATCTATTTTTCATCTTAAATGATCACAGTTTGTTATTTCTAATATCGGTTTCTCTTTATATCAAAGGCATCAGTTAATGAGCATAAATCAAATATGATACGAAAGAACCCTTTTTTAATTCTTTTTTACCTATACAACATAAACCTGTGTATGCCCCCGAATGCCCTCGTACGGCTGAAGGTGGGGAGATCCATCCCTCCTACTGTCGCTGTAACCGGTTCGCTGGACATAAAGGATCCATCTGGGGG